CGAGTACCTCTCGACTGGAAAATCATCCGAGAAAACAGATGTGTTCGGGTACGGGATTATGCTTCTTGAACTGATAACTGGGCAGAGGGCTTTCGATCTGGCCCGTCTCGCGAATGATGATGATGTCATGTTACTCGATTGGGTACTCTCTTTCTCTCTCCATGTGTATTTGTATTTGTATATTTAGGTCATGTTTGGTAAAACTAGCTGAGAGCTTATAAGTGATTTTCGAGCTTATAACTTATGTATATAGCTGAAAAGCTAGCCTATGATATATATGATAAAAGTGATTGGTAAAATTAGTTGATAAGTTAGCTTAAATAAAAATTTCAATAAGCTTATTTCAAAAGCTACCTAAAAGAAGCTTAACTTATGACATAAACTCGAGCTTTTAAAAAAAGCTCGTCGTACCAAACGAAGTTTATTTGAATACTGAAAGCTTATAAATTATTTGGTTACCGAACATAGCCTTAGCCTTAGTATGCCTGCAATGGTCAAGATCTCATTTTTTTCATGTTGGGCCGACAAATCGAGATTTTTCAGGTGAAAGGGCTTCTGAAAGAAAAGAAACTCGAAATGTTGGTTGACCCGGACCTGCAGAGCAGATACGTAGGATCGGAGGTGGAGCAGCTGATCCAAGTGGCCCTGCTTTGCACTCAGAGTTCCCCAATGGACCGGCCCAAAATGTCTGATGTTGTGAGGATGTTAGAAGGAGATGGATTGGCCGAGAAGTGGGACGAGTGGCAGAAAGTGGAGGTTCTCCGGCAGGAGGTGGAGCTTGCCGCACCACATCCGACCTCCGATTGGATTGTGGACTCCACCGAGAATTTGCATGCCGTAGAATTATCCGGTCCGAGGTGACAAATTCCTTCAAGCTACTATAAGCTGTTTATTAAACGAAACTTGTTTTTTCTTTGGTAGGGTAGAAGGGTTCAGCTTTTTCTGGGTTAAGACAGATTGTGAACCGAGCTCGGTTTGTATTTGTGCATAAATTGTGTGTAGTTTTTGAACAGTTTCTTTTGAGATCGATGGGCTCACCGATGAATTTGCATAAAAAAAAAAAAAAAAAAAAAAAAAAAATTAGTACAATCGCTATGCACTATAGAGGTTCCTAAAAAAATTAGGACATAATCATCATATGCCATTAAATTAGTATATTTAATTAATTAATTGCCTTCCAATGCACGTAAAACAACAATATTTAGTTCCAAAAGTAAATATTTAGCCCTAATTTAACATGTCTTTCTAAATAAACCTATTTGTCTTTCCCTTCTTTCTTCTGTTTTTTTTAGGAAAGCCTTCGTAAGTCATAACTATTTACCCCATCACTATAAATTGAGCCCCAAAATCAAACCAACATGCACACAAATTAACAATGACCTTCGAGATCTTCAAGTCGACCAAGAAAACATTCTACTACACCTTCTTCCCAACCAAGGAAGAGGAAGAGAAAGAAGAAGAAGAATCGTCAAAAACCCGGCCAGCCGGTGGCCGCCGCCAGATAATCGAGATCCGGGACTTTTTCCGGCCACCGTCTGGCGGCGGATGGCCGATTAAAAAAACCCTAACCCGACTCGAAATCGAGTCCGGCAAGCTCGTTTTGTCGTGCAACGACGTGTTTGAATACGTCCTTAGGTATTGGCCGGTTGAGTTGGCGGAAAGCATCGTTTGCGAAGGGCAAAGGGTTTATGTGGCTGTTTGTGATGCCACACAAGAGCCTAAGTACCCAAGAAAGTATGGCGTGGATCAAGCTTATGTGGAGATGGTGGAAAAGGACAATTTTGCCCTGGCGTGCATGGCCTTGGTGAAGGACAGGAACTTGAAGGTCTATGATGAGGTTTCGTTAAAATGGGATGATAAAAGTTTGTGTTTTATGTTCAAAATACTTCCTATGGAGTTTTAAAATTAGAATTGGGTATGAAATAATTCTGTTTTTTTTGTTTGGATGGACAATATTTATTTCAATTTTGTTGATGGGATTTTATATTTTTATATTTTATATTTTAAAAAAAGTATACTATTTTTTTTTTTATTTCATGAATTTCTTTCTTTTTGATTGTGTAATTCAGAAATAAAAATCGATCATACTATGCATATTCTAACAAGAAACGCTATCAACACTATTTAATCAATCATATTAGTTGACTATACCAATTTTTATATTATATCTAATTTTAATCATTATATATTCATCCTACTTTCATTAAAATATAAATATATTTAATTCCTAAAATTAACCTTTTTCCACTTATTTTCTTCTACTCGTCANNNAAAAAAAAAAAAAAAAAAAAAAAAAAATCTTACCTAAATCAAGTATTCTGAATTTTATATTTTAGTATTAATTTCCCAATCATCAGTTTCCATTATCGTTCTTTGATTATTATTGATTTTTATAATTAGCACTGTTCTAAAAATCGGCCTAGGCGGTGCCCGGGCGCCTCTGATTTGCGCATAAAACTCAAGAATAGAGTATCAAACTTAAGACAATATTCACTGTTTTTTGCTGTTTGTTCCTGGAAAAAAAAAAAGTGTGAATACTGGAAATAAGTCCATATGTTCAATGTCCTCTTTAATAAGCTCTCTTTGCACGAGCAGGTACAAGTGAATACAAAGGCACAGTGCCATAATATAAGCAAATATTATCTAAATCCACAAAAGCAGAGGAAGACTCGAATTTTCAGTGTTTTTTTTCCAGCTAAAACTGAAAATTATTTCCCTATACAGAATTTGCCAAATATGTTCGACAGAACTTCCTCCGAGATGTCCTCTCCGCTTATTTGGCCGAGGGCCAAAACAGCTTCTCTGAGGTCGATTGTCCAAAAATCGAGGGGCATCTCTTTCTCTATTGACGAAAGCAGCCTCTCGAAAGCTTCTCTTGATCGAACAAGTTGCTCACATTGTCTCTGACCAAAAATAAAATAAACAAAATTTCAGTTTAATTCCAAAAAAAAAAAAGACTTACCAAAAAAATAAAAAAAAAGAATAAATAAAATTTGATGAGAGATTGGCCAACCTGGTTAACAGTCCATGTTCGGCCGCCAGCAGGGATTTTATTCAGACCAACGAGCTCTACTATTAAAGACTCTAAATCCGAAATCCCTTGACCAGACAATGCACACGTGAAAACATGATTGTCGAACGAGCTGGACATTTTGTCAACCCATTCACGTGATGACGTGGCGCAGTCCACTTTGTTGACCACCAGAACAACCGGAGAGTTTGATGATGATGCACTCTGCATTCGGAAAAACCATGTTATTAAGAACGATAGCTTTATTGATCTTTCACTAACCATCTTCAGGTTCAAAGATAACCGTGATAAAAAGTGGCTAATTTTAAAAGTTCACAAAACCTTATTGCTTTGAATTCTTTCCAGAAGCTTCTCGTCCTCTAAAGTCCACCCATCGGCTGCACTAACAGTCATGACAATGACATCCGCGCTCGTGGCTACTGCTTCAGACCTTTCAACACCTTCAAAGAGTACAATGTCGATAGCAAATTAAAATTAAAGTAATATAATTAATTCTATTGATAAACGACTGAAACAAACCAAAAATATCATGAAGTCCTTGTTAAATTCATTTATAACCCAAATCTAGATACAAAGATAATATTGAGACCTCAAATTTCTAACCAAGGTCAAATATTATTTCCTGTCGGATCCTAACTGAGGCAACAACACAGCAGCTTCAATCAACACTACACTTCAGAAATTTTAAGGAGAAGATTTTAGAAGTAACCTATTTTCTCGACAAGATCATCCGTGTCTCTAATTCCTGCTGTATCGAGAAGTGTGACGGGAATCCCAGCAACACTAATATTAGCCTCCACAATATCACGTGTTGTGCCAGCAATGTTGGTAACTATTGCTCTCTCACTCTGCATGCTAAAACGTTTTTTTTTTTTTTAACCAACAAAAATTAGCCATAGCGGATAAATAAAAAATAAAAGATAAAAAGAAGACGATATTCCAGTTATAATAAGATTTTGACTCCTTTCTGATAGTCATTTCACTGAAAAAGATGTGTGTGGAAGACGAGCTCTACAAAACTAGTGCAATGAAGTTGAAAAGGTTTTAGTTTCAGCTCATAAGCCTTTTAGAAGAACATCTTATAACTTAGAAGTTGTCTGAGTGCTGATAAGAAGATTCGTAAGATCCCAATCAGATGGTAGGAATCTATAGGATTTTAAGACAATGAAAAAGAAGGATCTTACTTTGACAAACCATTATTTATAAAAGTTTTTTATAAATTCACTCGTTACAATCATTTTAAAGAGCTCTGAGTTTTTTCTATTAATCAGATATTAAACGACTAAGCTTAGAAATAAAACCTTACATCCTCCAAAAAATATGTTACAAGATCTAGGAACTCGTAATAGGCTGAACCCAAACATCCATTATGGGGCTTAATCTTTTCATCCCGTTCACGTCAATGAGAAAACAAAATGTAATTCCCCAACTTTACCCTATTAATTCAATTCTACAAATGAAAACAGGAGATGGCCCAATTGCAAGAACTGAAAGCAAATAACATAAAGCAATAATTGCACACAAATAACAAATAAGGAGGAGTCAAAACAACAACAGTAAAAAAAAAAATCAATGTCACAGATAAGCTTCTAAAAACATACTTTGCTCCATGCATTAAGAAGGCTTGATTTCCCAACATTTGGTCGGCCAACAATTGCTATCTGGACAAAGATTAACAAGGTTGAGGCTCATTAACAGTAAAGGAAATGCACACAGCCACACACACACACACTCACACACACACACACACAGAGAGAGAGAGAGAGAGAGAGAGAGAGTTTGGAAAAAGTACTACGCCTCGGTGAGCGTAAAACTCTTTTGAAGAACTTGGTAAAGTACCTGTACACCAGATTGCAGAAGCTTGTCATAATTTGCAGTTTCCAAAGCATTATCTACTTCTAGCAACATCTTGTTTATTTTTTCAGTGACCAGATTGAGGTCGAGGGTAGGCATCTCGTCATCAAAATCTAGACGAGCTTCAATCTCTGTAAGCAACTCAATGCACTGAGCTCTTAATGATTTCACCAAAGAAGAAAAACCTCCCTGTAAAATAACAACCAATAAGTCCAATACTCTTGCAGAGACCTTATAGTTTTGTCTCAATAAATAAACTCCATTAATTCAATAAGAAAGTAAAATTAGGTCAAAGTTACCTGAATTCCTGCCAACGCAGCATCTGCAGCGGCCATTGACTTAGCTGATATAAGTTTTTCCACATTTTCAGCTTGAGAGAGATCTAAACGGCCGTTTAAAAAGGCACGGAGAGTGAATTCACCTGTGAAGTTCACGATATGACGCTATTAAGAGTCCACAATTAATATTCCATTATTCATTCCATCCATGTGAAGGTGCTGGGAAGTGAAACAAAGAAACTCAAACCTTTTATTTAACGAAATGTCTTTAACAAATTTTAATTTTGAAAAACTTGATCTACCTAAGAATTAAGATCAAATACATGGATGGAACTAAGACAAAATTTTATATATGAAGGAACATTTTTCAGATTATTTACAGATAGTGGTTGTGATTGAGATTCTTCAAGAAATGACCTGGTTCGGCAAGCCTCGCCCCAGCATCTAGGCAAGCCCCCAGGACACGACGCAAGCACACTTCACTGCCATGACACTGAAGTTCAACCACATCTTCACGAGTATAAGATTTTGGCCCCAGCATTGGAACCACCAAAACCTAGTGGAGAATTAAGACAGTCACTGTGATTAGAGAATACATAATAGCATTGCTTTCTGAATGCACTTGAAATTGCTTGAGATAACAATTTCTTATTACTTGAGCCATCTCTCAACTTAAGTTGCTTCGAGTATGATTGATTGAAGTAGTTTCACAGGTTGGAAGATGAAATTAAAAGCTTGATTTTTCAAAAGAACGAATGGAAGAAATATAATTTAAGTGAGCAAAAAAAAAAAAAAATAATTAAAAAATTTCAAGCTAGCTGAATTATTAATTCGTTAATAAGGGAATCAAAAAGTCAACTTTCCTCTTATTTTCATCCGGTTGTCTGCAACCATTCTATAACATATCATCACATGAAATGGTACTATTGTAAACTTTGATAATCCTCTCCGGCATTATCTCAGCATACCCCAAGGCATCAAACGAGACATAAATCACCCAAGCCCATTCATTTTCTATTGAGATAAAAAATATTCAATCTCTTAACGAAAAAAAAAAAAAAGATACTGTAGCCGACTAGCAGTACCTCATCAACTACGCTGCCATTTGAATCCAAAACCACACCATACTCAACAACATGGCTGTTAAGCCACCAACTAGAGCCTTTTTTCCTCTTTCTCGACATGGGTCGAAAAATCTGCCCAGCAATAGAAACCGCCGAAGGGCCAGATAACCGGACAATCCCCACCGCACCTGGCGGCCCACCCAATGAAGTCACTATAGCTGCAATTGTACTACTCGAACTAATAACTTGCTCCGCCGAGTTCACTTCTCCATTTCCCAATCTCTCGTCTTTCTTGAGTACCAAGGTGTTTTCTACTGATACAATCATACAAATTTAGAACTTTTCAGAACCCACTAGCATAGTTACACAAAATTCATTGATTCATTTGTCCAGAAATCTAAGGTAAGGCACATAACCACTAAACTTTTATCTAAAGAAAAATGTTTGAGCTAAAAAGTTAAACATTATCAGCTCACAAACATAAATTCGCAGCTCATCAAGTTTTCTCCTCGATAAAAATGCCATAACCTACATAAAGCTTCAATCTTTGTTCCCGACAACTAAATATATACACAATAAATTGAAGCCCACGAGTCGTATAAGCACCAGAATTGAAGAGCGGTATAGACTTGCCTTTAGCAGCTTTAAACGTGGCAAGAGGCCGAGGACTGTTAATAGGGTTGTGGAAGGTAGAAAAGAGGTGGGTTAGTTTTCTGTGAAGTGGATTTGAGAATTTGGGGAAGATTGAATGTCGGAGAGTTGGGAGAGCGCGGCGCTGCAAGTGAGAGAGCAGGCGGCAGAAAGCTGGCGGGGCCGCCATTGATGCCGCTGTTGTTTGCATTTCCAAGGTTTTTGAGGGTACAGTCTTGTTTCTAAACTTACTGCTAAATGGGGTAAAGCAAAAAAAGCTAACCGCATGGACTTGGCTCACTTACGAACTCGACTCAACTCGTTAAAAATTGTGCTTCGGCTCGTTTTGTTAACGAGTTTCGGTTATAAAACTCGAAAAGATAATTTCTTATAAAATTTTCTGTAACACCGCTCGAGCTCAACTCGTTAATCAAGTCACAACATACAAATTCAGACCACAACATTCATAGTTAAATCTTAAGAAAAAAAGACAATTGCATAGTACTTTTGATTAAGATGAGATACTCCTAAACCTCTGTACCTTAGGACCCCTTTGCTTGCTTTATTTCATTCAAAAGAGTCATTCTAATGGTGTGCTACATTATAAATTTTGAATCATTACAACATTAAGAATGACCTTTCCATGCCAAATTATGCACTTACACACCTTCAAAAAGGCCTTTCCAATATAGTTAGTAGTATTACTCAACAATATTTTTCTCTCAAACATCCACTGCAAATTTCGGCGAACAGCTCTGAATTGCATCGGCCACCGTCAGAAAAATCTTGTCTTCGCCTATCAAATTCGTTAGCTCGGACGTGTAAAGCTTGTCGATCACCACTGGCCCCGGGTTCGCTAGTACAAGCTGTTCGAACGACCCAAAAAAATTAAAAAAGAAAATAGACAAAAATGAGTCACTTCACAAAATACAGCATTTCTACTTCACCTGAACAGATTTCTTCTGAAGGCTCTTGTAAAGTTCTTCCAGAGCATGAATACCGCTCGTGTCAATGTCAGTCACGGCTGCACGAGAACACGGAAAAAAGGAAAACAAAAAAAAAACAAAAAAAGTTCGATAAAGATGAAAATAAAAGCTTTCATCAGATATTTAACTCAATTCATCGTTACGAAAACAGGTAAAACTAAAAACTAGTATCTACTTACGAGACATTTCTACAATCAGATACTGAATTTCGGGTAGTCCAGCTGCTTTCAGTTGCTCATCCTCATCAGTAAGCCACCTTAATAACCTGCAAAAAGTGTAGATAGATAGTATACTCAACTAAGTTCAAGAACTAAGCTAAAAGTTAAAGAACTAAAAATCTTATAGTAAAAACAATTTTTAAAAAAAATTACCTCTCTTTTATGTAGTTCGAGTTTGAGAAGTAAATTGCCGAATCGACCCTTACTATTACAACTCCCGGGACCTTAGTTGCTTCTGGATACTGCAGAATATTCCGATAAACATTCGTCCGAGGAATCTTTCCTAGAAGAGCCGTTCTTGGTCTCGTCACTTGTAAGAGCAACTTGGCAAAAGATATTGATACCTATTACCAAAAGCGAAAACAAGATAGAACAAAACTTTGAATACTCGGGACCATTTTCACCAAAATTGTTTTTTCTTTTTTAAATAATTGTAGTTTATTACCGCAATCAAGAGGCCAATCTCGACGGACACAAAAACGACCCCAAAGAAAGCTCCCATGCAAGCAACAAAATCGAATTTATCAATCTTCCAGATCAAAATCGCAGCTTCATAATCGATTAAACCAATCACGGCCGAGATTATGATAGACGAGAGGATTGCATTCGGAGTGTACTCGAAAAGCGGAGTAATGAACAATAATGTCAAAAGCACGACAATAGACATAACGATATTCGAGACCGCAGTTTGGCAACCGGCCATGAAATTCACCGCCGATCGCGAGAAGGAGCCTGCAAAAAGCTCATTCTTTTATTTTTTATTATTTATTATTTATTATTGCCATATTAAGTTTTGAGATTAATAAAAAGGCCTTAGCTTCTTCTAATAAGTTCTAACCTGTGGCTACATAGCAAGATGTCATTGAGCCTGTAATGTTCATCACCCCAAGAGCAACCATTTCTTTATTTCCATCTATTTGATAATCTTTCATGCCAGCAAATGTTCGTCCGATTGCAACAGCTTCCTAATTTGTATAATATTGATGCGTTAAAAAAAAGGAAAAAAAACAAATCGATCATGTCTCGGATAGTCTACAAACTTACCGTCAATGCAACCATGCCAGCCACTATGCCGATTCGAGCACCTTTGAGCAAATATTCCCCACTGAAATATATTTGATCTAGAGACGGGCTATTAATTCCTTTTTCGATATGCCTCACGATTTGAACTCCTTTCTTGTCAGCTCGGGTAATGTAGACGAAGAAAGTCGAGAGCACGACGGAGATTAGAGGAGCAATTGCAGACACCCAAAAGAGTTTCTTGTTTTTCTTCCCCTGCAACACCTCGTCTCATCAAAATTACTAAACAAGACCCATTTTGTTTAATAGATGTGAGAATGAAAAAATCGAAAAGGGTACATTCGAGATCTTACAACATGCTTCGCCACGAGAAGAAACACAAGAAAAAACGCTCCAATGAGAATAGTCTCCAAGTTCCACTGCACACACACAAAACTCCACATAAGCATTGGCTAAATTTAACAGTTATCGTTCTTTGATTCAAGACTCGTTATTTATCACTCAAATACTCACCCCATGATGGGCCGAGCGGAAAACGGACTGCATAACCGAAACAATATCCGAGTTCTTGGTAAACTTTTTTATGCCTAAAAAGCCCTTAAGCTGTTGGAGAGCAATCGTTATGGCGGCCCCACCCATGAACCCGACTATTGCCGCATGTGATAAGAAATCGATTAAGAAGCCCAATCTTCAACATTCACAAAGACACAAATAAGCATTTACATACAAAACAGAACAAACAGAACAAAAAATGAAAATAAAAATAAACATTACCGGAGAATGCCGAGAGTGGCTTGCGTTATGCCGGCGAAGAGAGTTGCCGTGAAAGCCAACCTACGGTAATCATGCGCATTGTTGACCGGGTCAATCTCGTTTTGCAGCATAGTCCCTAGAAGAAGTGAAACTACTGCGACGGGCCCGATTGCAATATCTCTCGAGCTACCCATGAATGCATAAATCAAAGGCGGCACAAAGCTCGAATCTGATCGATCATATGCACGTTTTACACATAAGAAAAAACACTTCTCTTAAACCACGAAAAAAGAACGTTAGCTAATTTTTCACATGTACTCACATAAACCGTACTGAGGATCCAAATTCGCAAGCTTCGCATACCCAATATCCTGTTTTTTTCACAAAGCAACGTTAAAACAAGTATACAAAAAAATAACATACTTTCATTTTCTTCGAACTTTCTATCAGCATTATCATTATAAACCTGAGGAATGCAGAGGCTGGCAATGGTGAGCCCGGCAATTAGATCGCCTTTAAATTTAGCCAAGCTATATCCTCTGGCCCAGTCGAGAATCGGGAAAACAGCCCGTATTCCCAAAACGAGCTTTCGTGACTTCGGCTGGTCCTTGAACGAGCGTAAAGGGTCATCGGCAAAGAACGTTTCCTTGAGAGTCGAAGAGAATTCCTTCCACAGTTTCTGCTTCGGGGGAATGCCTACTTTGTAAGGGGACGAAATACGGTGATGCGAAAGCGACAAACTCGAGTCGTCCATTGGCCTCAACTTGGTTCGATTTTCGGTTTAGTTTTGCCTATACATGTATATATAAGTGTAAAGAAACTTGCAGGTAAATTTTTTTTTTTTTTCACCGGTGAAGAAAGTGAAGAACAATTCTGTGTTTACTTCTGGAGGAGTGGTTGTTTATATAAGCAATGATGTCATCCTCACTTGTAATGATACACATTCAAACTCTCCAACTGATATTCAAATTCTAACACGTTCATACTTTCTCGGCAGATATGCATACTTTCAAACTGAAACACCGTATCACCCAAAAAAATGAACAGTTACGAAACATGACATTTCATTACATAAGTATGCAATTCCGTTTACAAATGTACGACGGATAGAACAAGATCATTACAACATCAAATATACAACCAAAATTTATGCTATTCATAAATGAACCACAAACAAGTAAAAAATAAAGAACATAAATATATTTATGAACTAATAATTTCTTGAACTAGACCGACAGCAAAAAGACAAAGCGCCATTATAATAATAGTCCAATTTTTAGAGGACTAATGTGCAATACAAGACTTTTGAACAAACACACACACACAAACAAAAAACTGTAGCAACATTACCTTTTTTGTGCCTTTTTTAACTCTTTCCCCAGATAGTGCTCGAGGGAATAAACCGATCAATCACGTCCCCAAGCCAAAATGCCCATACAAAAAATGATGGCCGTCGGAAAAAAAGGTTCGAAAAATCGATCCCGATTACGAATCAAATTTTTCGAGACCGACGAAAAAACACGTCCAAGTTCAATGAACCTGACTCTTTTAAGAAAATTCAACGGGGAAAGTATTGAAATCTTCTTGATGTGACGAACAAATTAGCCCCAGCAAGAACTCAAATTTATTTAAGAGGACAAAAAAAAGTCGTACAGAGCTGCCACGTGTGTGTTGAATAAAAAGTCAAAGGAAACAAACAGGACAATCGACCACTTTTTTTATTTTGTTCACTTTTTTTAAGGAACGTTTTATGCAGATCATCCATTACATTACACTAATGCTGGCAAGATTAGTTGAGAATTTAGTGCGGTCAGCTTTTTCCCGAGGCAATCGAGGCATTTTGTGTACTTGGACACACCGTGGGGTCCAGATTCATAGTAAGGTTTGTTTTCATAGTCAATGAACTAAAATTCCTGAAAAATGATGAGTTTTTGCCTTTTTGGATACTAATGAAGAAAATCTATATTCGAGAGATTTTACGGTTCTGTTACGGAATTATTTCGGCAGAGTTTGTAGCTGTTAGATCAACAATCATGATGATTACATGATGATTTAACGGTTACAAATCCCAACAACATGGTACCGTAACGGGATTGTAGCATTTTCCTTTATATTATCTATATAAGTAGGGTCAATTCAATTAATGTTATCCAATTATCATATAATTTTTCTCGCTCATTTTTTATTAAATTAGTTTTACCCCGTGCATTTGCACGAAAAGTAATATTCTCTCATATTCATTATAAATGTCGTTTTGACTTTTTTGATTCATCCATTTTGTTATGTATCTAGACATATTAATGTCTAGATACATAACAAAATGGATGAATAAAA